ATCAGGAAAGAACATGTCGTTGCTGTCTTCTTCGACTTAGAGAAAGCATACGATACAACTTGGCAACATGGAATTTTAAAAGATCTCCACCAAATGGGACTCAGAGGAAGGCTTCCCATCTTCATTTCAAATTTTCTCACCAAAAGAAACTTCAAAGTCCAAGTCGGAAACACATCATCAAATATTCACAAACAAGACCTGGGATTCCCTCAAGGAAGCATTCTCTCAGTCACTCTCTTCAGCATCAAGATAAATAACATTGTAGAAATTATTGGACCAAACACATTCTGCAGCCTTTATGTGGATGATCTCTGCATGAGTTACAGAGGAAATAATATGAACACAATTGAAAGACATCTACAATCAAGTATCCACAAAATCAATCAGTGGGCTACAAAAAATGGTTTTAAGTTCTCCAGATCAAAAACTGTTTGTACACATTTTTGCATCCAGAGATCCCTTCACCATGACCCAGAACTTTTTATTAACGAAGAACAAATCAAAGTCGTTAAGGAAATCAAGTTTTTAGGACTTATTTTAGACAACAAAATGACTTTTATCCCTCATTTTAAATATTTAAAAAACAAGTGCTCGAAAGCCATGCGTATAATCAAAATCTTAGCAAAAACTAAATGGGGAGCGGATTTTAATATACTCTTACGTCTTTATAGAGTTCTCATTAGATCCCGGTTGGACTATGGGTGCATAATATATGATTCTACCAGAAATTCATATAAACAAATCCACAACACAGTTCATCATCAAGGATTACGTCTTGCTTTAGGAGCCTTCAGAACATCACCAATACAGAGTTTGTACACTGAAGCCAACGAACCTTCTCTCCAAAATAGACGACTAAAACTCTCATTACAATACGCCATTAAACTGAAAGCAAATAAGAACAATCCAGCTCACACTGCAGTTTTTAACCCTCAACTAGTACAATTGTATGAGAGTAAACCACAAACTATCAGACCTTTTGGACTACGCATCAAACCACACCTACAAAATCTAAACATAAACCTGGACATACTAAATCAAGTACATTTCTCCTTCCTGCCCCATTGGAAGATAAAGAGGCCCATAGTCAACATGGATCTAAGCCGCCAGAAGAAAGGAACAACCCACCCCAATTTGTACAGGCAACAATATCTGAACATTAGAAGCCAATATCCCCAACACCAACCCATTTTTACAGATGGCTCAAAAACTTAAAACGGAGTTGCAGCAGCAATGGTAACTGGAAAACAACATTTTTGAATCAGACTACCTAAAGAGTGCACAATTTTCACAGCTGAAGCTCGTGCCCTACTTTTAGCACTGGAGTACATTGAAAACGACCAACTAAACAAGTCCATCATCTTCACAGATTCCAAGTCATGTCTCCAGGCCATGGAATCTCCCAGGAATGATCATCCACTATTAGATGATATTTTGACAAAAACCCACCAACTACAAAACCAGTCCTATCAAATCATTTTTTGCTGGATCCCAGGACATACCGGACTTCCAGGGAATGAGCGAGCCGACGCAGCAGCCAAGAACGCTCTAGGACAAGTAGTGAACAAGTGCCAGATCCCCCCATCAGAGATGAGATCCATCATTAATGATTACATCCAAAATAAATGGCAAGAAGAATGGAATACACTTGAAAACAACAAATTACACGAAATCCAACCTGAGATCCCATACAGAATTTTAAGACATTTTAAGACTAGATTTGATCAAGTGGTTTTTACCAGATGCCGCATTGGACACTCAAGATTAACCCATGGTCATCTGCTCCAAGGAGAAAACCCTACACAATGTATATACTGCTCAACTCCAATTACCATAAAACACATTTTATTGGACTGCCCTGCTTTTAATGACTCCAGAAAGTCTTTTTATGAAGTGATCTCTTTAACCTCTTAAGCCCGAGAGTCCCCGGTACCGGGGACTTGCCCCCTTGTGCGTTACATTTTCACTCATAGCTCACGAACCCTGAGAATAACCCACACATATTAAATACTGTTGTGTTCAGCGGAAACTCCTCTAAAAACGTATCTAATTCAATTTCATATCGGTGAACCACAGCTCGAACGCCATGCAAATAAACAACATGTCCGGAGTATAATTCATGACCACGTTTTTGTTTATGTGCGATATGTATCCACAATATAAACGGAAACACCAAAACCATTACATTAAATGAAAGCTAACAACCAGCTGAATCCAGTGATATGCAACTCATTAACATTGCATGAAGTATTTCAGAGCAGAGAGCGAAAGTTCCACGAAAAAACGCCAGCGAAAACCAAGCAAGCATGTAAATCTTGTCTTACCTTTGCCGTTTTTTCAACAAAAAGTTATTTCCATAGCGATAAAAGTCCGTTTGTTGTTATGTCCGGTCGATAGCTTCGCGCAAACGCCATTTTGGATTATTTCTGTAGCTTTGTGGCGTCATTACGTCACCAAATATGGAATGACTCCCCGTGCGTTAGAGGTGGTCTCTCCACGCTGCGCGTCGTGTGATTCGTCGGCGATCCCGTCAGTCTCAAAATGGTTGAGCTGATTAGTTTCCATAGAATCAGAGCTTTCCAGCGATGTATAGATCTCCCGGATTGGACAGATGGTCGGGGGGGGGTAGGGACACGCAGAAGCTCGACGTCAAAGCGTTTGTGAGTGAAACGTTCCCAAAAGCGCAGCAAGATGGCGTAAATGAGCTTCTACCCCCCTTTTACAGCGTTTCTTTAGGAGTTTTTTTTGCTGAAATCATGTCCCATAAGCAAGAAAAGAAGACTATGAACGTAGCTGAGGCTTTGGACAAGATTTTTTCCATATTTCAATTATTGTGCCAAATTGTGCCAAACTGTGCCAACATGGATTACGCCTGAACTTTGTTCAATCAAAACCTGTACAGAATATTAGTTTCTTGTAGTATGAACACCAAACTTGCTACAGATGTTCTTGACATGTAGTGGTTACAATTGATTGTGTTTATTTGCTTCGTTATAAGTAAAATAAGGAGATATTGGAGGAAACATGTGTTTTTTTTTTAGGCGGAGTTCATTTTTTGGCCATTCCAACATCAATTACTCTTACCCAGTGTTCTTGACTGTCAAATTAACTCATCCACACCACTCCCCAAGAACCTATCTTCATTTTGATACCAAGATTTGCAGTTTAGGCCTTGTAAAAGCTGAGAAATGCCTTAAAAAGTAAAAGTATAGGATTTTCGGAAAATAGGCCTCAGGGCTTAAGAGGTTAAAGGACATTTTTAATACAGTGACACCAGGAAAAATTTTTTGATTTTTTTATTGTGTATTAATATGAAATATCTTATCTAATTTATGTAATCAGCTGATGTGAAATTTTAATTGTATATCTGATATCTAAATGTTTTGCCATGAAAATAGCCTTGGTTGCTGACATGGCATTAAATCAATAAATAATAATAATAATCCCTGACCGGGAATCGAACCCGGGCAGCGGCGGTGAGAGCGCCGAATCCTGACCACTACACGTTTCTTGCTAAAATGTGTGAGTGTCTTGGAGTCTTTTGCTCTTTCTCTCTCTCACACACACTTATCTTCTGGTGCGCATTCTCGCATATTTTTGCTCTCTCGCTTACGCGCTCTTGAGAAGCACTTTCTCTCTTTCTTGCTCTTGGTTTTGTCACAAAGGCCTTTTGTCGGCTCCCGATTAGGACATATTTAAAAATAAATGAATAAATAAAATAAAAAATGCCAACGAGAAGAAGAGTGAAGATAAAAACTAAGACTTGTGGACCAGCCAGAGAAGCAGTTTTTTCATCTGAGATCTTTAGTTGCATTTTTTGGACAGAGTAAATTACGCTCCGGTTAGTTAGAGTGATCCAGCTGACCGTGCCTAGCGCCGGACCTTCCATCGGGTCACTGTTTGTTGTTTTAGTTTGTTATTTTAGTTTTTTATTTTTGGAGGCACCCCGGGGGGGAGACTCTGTCTCCTAACTGGTAACCCTCCGAAGACTAGGAAGGTTGTATTTAGTGTTGTAGATAGGAAGTTAGGTCCGGAGTGTTGTTTTCTTTATTCTTACTTATTATAAAACATTTTATTTACTAAATGGCAACGTTGTTTAAATTAGACAACTGTAAAGATGATATGTTTAATGTGGCTTAACATTATGATATCTCAGTTTCTGGGACGTTACTCAAGAGAGATCTGATGAGTAAACTGAATGCAAGGAAGTAAAATATTTCGATCTAGGATGCATGAATGTTTGTTTTATTTGTATGAAAGGAACTTATTCCATAGTCAGAGAGACTGTGATGCCTGTGTGCAAGGTGGACCTGGAATGGAGATACTTTCAAATCGTTTATTGGGGTGTTGGCAGATGGACTGTGGGTTGTTCTTGGGCGGATGTGGTTGTATTGTCCTCGGGGTTGCTCCGTGTTTGGGCTCGGCATAGTAGATCATGCTGGGATCCATGTTAGTAAGGGATGGAAGAGAAAAATAAGATTTTTCAAAAATACTTGTAAACTGTGTTTTGAATGTATCAAACATGATTTGTTTTAAACTTAATAACGAATCGCATATTTTACATACTTTTAAAGATGATTTCTTTTATGAAACTTGATCAATATACTCTTAAATCAATGTGATGTGTTTGAAAAATAACTAGTTAGTTGTTCAGTGTAACTGTCTCGATGGTCTATGTGGTGACTGTTAGAAATGTTATGAGGTGTGACCTCTTTCAGAGGTCAAGAGAGGGATTTGTGGGAAAATTTAATTAACTTTCTATGATATCTTGTGAAGATAATGAGAATGAATGGTTTTATTATACATGGCCTCGGAAAAGGGAAAGAGGACTGCTTTGACTCCCCTTTTCTTCCTAGGCAGGAAGAGATAAGGATATTCTTCCAGAATATTGTAGTCTTGTTTCAAAGAGAATGCGTCAGGGGTTATTAACGATTCAGGAAAAAATCAGAATCTAGTGGATCAGTATCTTGTTGTCGTGTATAAAAAGTATTAAAAGTCACTTCCCTGACCGGGAATCGAACACCGGAAGCGGCGGTGAGAGCGGCGAATCCTGTCCACTAGACCATCAGGGACACACAACCCTCATTGTTTTTCGGCCATTTATTTGCCATTTTTAAATGCTATCACATTTGATCATAATGATTTGGACACACAACCTTCTGATTTGGAGTCAGACGCGCTACCATTGCGCCACAAGGTCTTATATGAGGATTTCTGGAAGAAGGCTCATAACGATCCAGAGGAAAATCAGAATCTAGTGGATTAGTATCTTCTTGTTGTGTGTCAAAAATATTAAAAAGAAGTTCCCTGACCGGGAATCAAACCCGGGCCTCAGCGGTGAGAGCGCAGAATCCTGACCATCAGGGACACACAATACTTATTGTTTTTTTGGCTATCTTTTTTTTTTTGCCATTTTTAATTGATATTACTTTTTTATAATACTTTTATATAATCCTTTATTATAATTTATAATCCTGGCATTTTCCAGTAATGCTGTTTTGATTATCTAGAAGAGCAAAACTCAAATCATGCTAATTTTAGAAAACTTTTTAAAATTAAAGTTTATTGCTCTCCCATGATCTGGAGTCAGAAGCGCTACCGATGCGCCACAAGGTCTTATATGAGGATTTCTGGAAGAAGGCTCATAACGATCCAGAAAAAAATCTGAATCTAGTGGATCAGTAGCTTTTTGTCGTGTATCAAATTTTTTAAAAGGACCTTCCCTGAACGGTAATCGAACCTGGGCCGCAGCGGTGAGAGCGCCGAATCCTGACCACTAGACCATCAGGGACACACATACCTCAATGTTTTTTGGCCTATTTTTTGTCATTTTTAAATGCTATCACTTTTTGATCATAATTCCAGGCAATTTCCAGTAATGCCGTTTTGATTATGTAGAAGAGCAAAAACTCAAAACATAATAATTTTTGAAAACTTTTTTGAAAGCTAATCGAACCCGGGCCGCAGCGGTGAGAGCGCCGAATCCTGACCACTAGACCATCAGGGACACACATACCTCAATGTTTTTTGGCCTTTTTTTTTGTCATTTTTAAATGCTATCTCTTTTTGATCATAATTCCTGGCAATTTCCAGTAATGCCGTTTTGATTATCTAGAAGAGCAAAACTCAAATCATGCTAATTTTGGAAAACTTTTTAAAATTAAAGTTTATTGCTCTCCCATGATCTGGTATCAGAAGCACTACCGTTGCACTACAAGGGCTTATATGAGGATTTTTGGAAGAAGGCTCATAACGATCCAGAAAAAAATCTGAATCTAGTGGATCAGCATGATGTTGTCGTGTATCAAAACTAATAAAAGGAAGTTCCCTGTCCGGGAATCGAATCCTGACCACTAGACCTTCAGGGAGACACAACCCTCATTGTTTTTTGGCCATCATTTTTTCTTGCCATTTTTAAATGCTATCACTTTTTTTATCATACTTCCTGGCAATATCCAGTAATGCCGTTTTGATTATCTAGAAGAGCAAAACTCAAAACATAATAATTTTTGAAAACTTTTTAAAATTAAAGTTTATTGCTCTCCCATGATTTGGTATCAGAAGTGCTACCGTTGCGCCACAAGGTCTTATATGAGGATTTTTGGAAGAAGGCTCATAACGATCCAGATAAAAATCAGAATCTAGTGGATCAGTATCTTGTTGTCTGGTATCAAAAATATCAAAAGGAACTTCCCTGACCGGGATTCGAATCCTGACCACTAGACCTTCAGGGACACACAACCCTCATTGTTTTTTGGCCATCATTTTTTTGCCATTTTTAAATGCTATCACTTTTTCATCATACTTCCTGGCAATATCCAGTAATGCCGTTTTGATTATCTAGAAGAGCAAAACTCAAAACATAATAATTTTTGAAAACTTTTTAAAATTAAAGTTTATTGCTCTCCCATGATCTGGTATCAGAAGCGCTACTGTTGCGCTACAAGGTCTTATATGAGGATTTTTGGAAGAAGGCTCATAATGATCCAGAAACAAATCAGAATCTAGTGGATCAGTATCATGTTGTCGTGTATCAAAAATATTAAAAGGAACTTCCCTGACCGGGAATCGAATCCTGACCACTAGACCTTCAGGGACACACAATCCTCATTTTTTACGCCATCATTTTTTTTGCCATGTTTAAATGCTATCACTTTTTGATCAAAATTCCTGGCAATTTCAAGTAATGCCGTTTTGATCATCTAGAAGAGCAAAACTCAAATCATGCTAATTTTAGAAAACTTTTTAAAATTAAAGTTTATTGCTCTCCCACGATCTGGAGTCAGAAGCGCTACCGTTGCGCCACAAGGTCTTATATGAGGATTTTTGGAAGAAGGCTCATAACGATCCAGAAAAAAATCTGAATCTAGTGGATCAGTATCATGTTGTTGTGTATCAAAACTATTAAAAGGAAGTTTCCTGTCCAGGAATCGAATCCTGACCACTAGACCTTCAGGGACACACAACCCTCATTGTTTTTTGGCCATCATTTTTTTTGCCATTTTTAAATGCTATCACTTTTTTATCATACTTCCTGGCAATATCCAGTAATGCCGTTTTGATTATCTAGAAGAGCAAAACTCAAATCATGCTAATTTTAGAAAACTTTTTAAAATTAAAGTTTATTGCTCTCCCATGATCTGGTATCAGAAGCGCTACCGTTGCGCTACAAGGTCTTATATGAGGATTTTTGGAAGAAGGCTCATAAGGATCCAGAAAAAAATCAGAATCTAGTGGATCAGTATCTTGTTGTCTGGTATCAAAAATATTAAAAGGAACTTCCCTGACTGGGAATCGAATCCTGACCACTAGACCTTCAGGGACACACAACCCTCATTGCTTTTTGGCCATCATTTTTTTGCCATTTTTAAATGCTATCACTTTTTTATCATACTTCCTGGCAATTTCCAGTAATGCCGTTTTGATTATCTAGAAGAGCAAAACTCAAATCATGCTAGTTTTAGAAAACTTTTTAAAATTAAAGTTTATTGCTCTCCCATGATCTGGTATCAGAAGCGCTACTGTTGCGCTACAAGGT